ACCCGTGGGTGGCCGTGTCGAGCTCACCCAGTGTGTGGCCAGTGACTCGCACTCAGTACTGGCCATGCTGATGTCTCCTGGTGTGTGGCCAATACTTGGTAGCCATCGGTGGCCGTGCTGAGCTCAGCTTGTGCAGTGATGGTGACTGGCACCCATCGGTGGTCATGCGATGCTGAGCTTTCCCTCTCCCCGCAGCGCTGAAGGTGCAGCTGAACGCTAAGCTCTTCGGGCAGCACCTGGCCAAAGATGTGGTGCTGAAGGCGGTGATGGGCTTCATCAACAACCCCAGCCCCAAGAAGCCGCTGACGCTCTCACTCCACGGCTGGGCTGGCACCGGCAAGAATTTCCTCAGCCAGATCCTGGCGGAGAACGTCCACCGCGCCGGCCTGCGCAGCAAGTTCGTGCATCTCTTCCTGGCCACCCTGCACTTCCCCCACCACGACCAGCTCAAGCTGTACAAGGTGAGGAGGGACACAAGGTAATCCAGTTACCCTGAGGCCCCAGACCCCCTCGTACAGGGGTTTGGCTGTTTGTGCTGTGCACGTCGCCCAGATACCTGACAGCTGGAGGTGTGCAGTGGGTATTTCCAAAGTTGGTGCTTAGGAGAGAGAGAGGGGGAAGTGCATGCAGAAAGTGAAAGGCACCAAAACGCCAAGAAATCCAAAGTGAAAGTAACTTCCTAGTGCTGTCCTCTCACTGATGCCATCTGCTGATTTCTGCTGTGCTTCATTAAAACTGCACACACTGGCTGGCTGGGATAGAGGTGACTTTCCCCATAGCAGCCCTGCAGTGCCATGTTTTGCATTTGTGGCTAAAACAGCATTGATAACGCACCAGTGCTTTGGCTGTCACTGAGCAGTGGCTCGCACAGCCTCAGAGCTTGCTTCTGTCCTCCCACACGTAGCGAGCAGGCTGGGGTGGGCAGCAGACTGGGAGGGGACACAGGTGGGACAGCTGATCCCAGCCGGCCAGAGGAATATTCACTAACATACACTGTTATGCTCAGCAATAAAAACTGGGGTAGAAGAGGAAAGAAGTAGGGAGGTTGGCTTCCAAGCTGGCTGTTGCTCTAATGCTGGCTGCATGTGTCAGGGGAGGCTGAGTGATTCCCATCTCAGCCTGGTTTTCGTGCCTTATCCATACACTAAGCAGAAAGAATGAGAGTCTCTCCTCTGTGAGCAGGAAAAGTACTCACAGTTAAATTCTGGGTCATATGTTAAAGGGATCAGTCAGTGTTCATGGTCCTCTCTTCAAGGAAAAGTATAACCAGTGAGTGTGTGATGCTGATATTTGAAAGGGTATCCCTAGAGTCTGTCACATGCAAACATCCTGCAGTACATCCCCAAAAGACCTGCTTTTTCAGTGTTTTTCAACCTCTTGTTCCAGGAACAACTGCAGAACTGGATTCGGGGCAATGTCAGTGCCTGTCCCCACTCTGTCTTCATTTTTGATGAGATGGACAAAATGCACCCAGGTCTTATTGATGCCATCAAGCCGTTCTTAGACTATTATGAGCACGTTGATGGGGTGTCCTATAGGCAAGCCATCTTCATCTTCCTCAGGTCTGTAGCACCTATTTCAGTCATTTTGAGATACTGAGAGAGAACTGTGTTTATGATGAGAATGATGTTCCCATGGGATCTAATCTAAAGAACAGCACAAGAACTGCTCTGGAGCAGAGACCCTCTATAAATACAGAGGGGAGCAGCCTTGAGCTCTTGCGTGGCCTGTGGCTGTAGCAGAGTGAGTCTGATGTGGTGCTGCAGACACTGCAGTGTGCTGAGCTCACGAGCCTGGTCCAGAGCACAGATTGTGTGAGAATTTACATTTTGGGGAAGTTCTCTGTGATGGGTGCACTGTGTACAGCGTTTGGCTGGGATGGACTTAACTGTCTTCACAGCAGCTGGTCTGGTGCTGTGTTTTGGATTTGTCACTAAAACAGTGTTGATAACACACCAGCGTTCTGGCTCTTTGTAGATGGTGCTTGCAAAACCTCAAGGCCACCTCTTTTTCCCTCGCTGCCTCCAGCGAGTAGGCTGGGGTGGGCAAGAGGACGGGAGGGGACACAGCTGCGACAGCTGACCCAGACCGGGCAGGGGAATATTCCATAACATGTCGTGTCATGCTCAGCAATAAAACCGGGGGTAGAGAACGAAGGAGGGGGGGTTTCAGCTTCCAAGGTGATGGTTCTTCAGAGACTGCCTGGTGTTGGTGTGACCATGGGGATGGTGAGTGATTTGCTGAGCTTCCCTTGGGTTGTTTTTTTCCTCTTTAATTACCTACTGAACTGTCTTTATCTTGACCCCCAAGTCTTCTCATTTTTGTTCTTCCTGTTATTTTCTCCTTCCACCCTTGCTGAGGCCTGGGAGGGAGTAAGCAAGTGGCTGTGTAGGTGCTTGGCTGCTGACCAGGGTCAACCCACCACACACTGATGGCTACTTGAAGAACTGGAGATTTACCCTAAGTTTGGGCTTTGGGGTTTCTGTTTTGGTGATTTGTTTGACGTCAAGGATATTAGCAATATGTGTAACTGGCTAGAAAAGAAACTGTGGTTCAGTTGTGTCTGTATTCATCACTGTACATTTTTCTTCTATGAACAGCAATGCAGGTGGGGACTTAATTAATAAAGCAGCTCTTGACTTCTGGACAAGTGGAAAGCTCAGGGAAGAGATTCAGCTGAAAGACCTGGAGCCCATGCTATCTGTAGGAGTCTTCAATAACAAGAATAGTAAGTCACTTTCCTCAGAAAATGTGAAATTCCTTTTACTTCATAAGACAGGGCCCATCTCTTGACCCTGCCCTGCTTTTCCCTTTCCCCCAACTCCTCCAGGCGGACTGTGGCACAGCAGCCTCATCGACAGGAACCTCATTGACTACTTTGTCCCCTTCCTGCCCCTGGAGCACAAGCACGTGAAGATGTGCATCCGGGCTGAAATGAGAGCCCGTGGCTATGCTGTGGATGAGAAGATTGTTCAAGCAGTGGCTGATGAGATGACGTTCTTCCCGAAAGAGCAAAAAATCTACTCCGATAAAGGCTGCAAGACTGTACAGGCCAAGCTGGATATTCATGAAGACGTCGTGACGAGACATATGAGAGCCAAGGGTTGATTACCCTTCAGGTCTCAGAGCTTTTGGAAATCTGTGTATTTGCACTTAAGATTTTTTTTTTTTACTGTTGCAGGGAATGTCGTGAAAATACCAGTGAGCTCTGTGGGCTTTTTAACTGTTTTGGTTTTTTTAGTTTAACATCCCCGTGTTCATTTCTGAACTGGCTGCTATCCAGGTGTGGCCCCCTTGATTTTTTTTTAACCTGTAGAGAATTTCAGGCCATGACACACATAGCACCGGATACAGCCTCTCCTGCTTTATTCTTCCAAGTGCTGGGATTACTAAGTATTTAATTCCTCTTTTTTTTCCCCAAAAACTAGAGTAGAGCAAAGGAGAACAGAGGAGTTGTTCCAGGCAGTCACGTTCCCTTCCTTGTACTTGGTCTCATTCACAGGCCAGTGAAACAAAGGGATGTGTGGTGTGTTCAGGACTATGATAATATCTGCAAGGGCGAATACCTGGATGTGCTGCAGTAAGACGATGGTATGGTGGAAGGCTTCCTCTCCTTCACAGCAGTTTGGTGCTGTTGTGGCTTCTACAGACGAGTGTCAGCTCTTCAGGGACAGAAGGGCGTGATTGTAGTTTACGTCCAAGCTGTGGCATCGTATCACATCACCTACTGCAGAAATACGGAAAGTCATGAAGAGCTCCGGGAAGTCTGTTCCTAAATAGCAGAGAAAGTGTGTGTGGTGGGGGGGGGAGTAACTGCTTGACACTGTGCCACTTTGGAGAAAAAGAAATTGTAAAAGAAACTTTATATTCTTCTACTTAAGGAGGCTAAGTGAATTTCTGTGGTAACTCCAGGGTGTTTGTCTTCCTAAGCAAAGGGACCCATCCGAGGGATCCGACTGTTACAACATACCAGGCCAGTCTCCTGTTCTTTATCAGAAAAGTCTCTCATGAGGATTTGGCTATTGCAGCTTGTCAGGTTAATCTGCATGGGGGCTCCTGGACCAGAAGTCTGCAGGATCTTTAGTAAGATCTTTAGGAGTGGATAATGTTACTTTCACCTTGCTTGGAAGACACTTTGATAGCAGAAGTTATTTTTAATAGTGTATTTTTATACTGAAGTGTAAGCAACAGCAATACAAAGCTCTTTCTAGAGAGCCACAGAGAAGGGAGTATGGGATACGGGAGCAATCAACAATCCCGTACCTCACCAGGTAAGTATGTTTTATAGTAGCTTTTTTAAAGAATGTGCGGAAGGACGAGTGATGGGTTAGATGGGAAAGATGATTTAAGCTTCACTCACTTGGTACAGCTGGGGTTTAAAACTCTGTTGCAAGCTTTAACTCTTTCATCACCCATCACTTGTGGCTCAGATACTGCAGTGCAAGACAGAAGTGCCTATCACTTGGTTGATTGTGGTGTGTTTTTTAAACTGGTATGAGGGATTGGGTTATTTTTGTGCTGCAGCATCCACTCACCCACTTGTACTTAAACTCGCTTTAAGATGTGATGCAAAACTTTGTAAGTCTCAACACTATCATGTTAATGCAAATTACAACACAGAGCTTGGCATTTATGTTAAGCTCTAAACTAAAAGTGTCAATTGCCTTTTACAGCGCCACGTGGAATTTGTCAAATGTTGGCAAACTGTGCACGCTGATGCAATCTCCAGAGCCAAATGCTAGCCAGCCATTAACCTTGGGACATTGGACTGTTGCTTTTCATCTATCATGTTTTGCCTATTAACTGACTTACTCCTAGGTGTAAATGCTGCATCCAGTTTCAGTTACTCTGGATACAAAACACTTGTGCAATTTCAAAACACATATTAATACTGTACTGCAGTTGGAATAAATCTTAAGTCACTTTTCTCTCTTGGTTTAATTCTTTTCAGCTATAAGGGTAGTATTTTAGGCAGTTTTCAACCAGCTGCTCTGCAGCGTTCTTTTAAGCTTCCTTTACTCTTAGAAATTTATTTGTAACAATAGATAGCAGATTAAATAGCCTGTTGATATTACAAATGTGTTGAGTCATCCAGCAGCACAGTAAGGAATTCAGCAGTTAAACACAGCACAGTTAAGACAAACACCTATGAAAAAGCTTTAAACTCTTGCCTGCTCTGTGTCATGGTTATTAACAGTCTCTCCTACCATACTGCCAGGCACTGCAGGACAAAGCAGCCTCATGTGGCTTGTTTAACTGTTCCTCCTCTGAGCTGTGTCTGGAAAGCTCATGTTCAGGCTCTTCACCTCTCCTCTAGCAGGCAAAGGCTTTCATCGTATCTCCTTGGGCCAGAGCATCTGCGGCCTCTCTAGCACTGAAAAAAAAGCCAGTTTGTAAATAACGGCCTAATTCCAGCGAGGTGCAGCTGCTGGCACCAGCTCGCACATCTCTGGACAGTCAGTTGTTCACGCTGTCGTGAACCATGTGTTGTGCTGTAACGATGCGCAAGGAAGCTCACTGCAGACTGGGAAGCGTGAGCTGTCTCGTTTATCAGGACTTTGCCCTGTGCCTGTGCCGCTCTGCACACACGACAGCTTGGCCGTTTGGCCCAGGGCGTCAGGCAGATGAACCTCCAGGGCCAGGCTGTCTCTTTCTATCCAAAGCAACACTTAATAATCGCGGGATCTTAACCACAGCCTCTAATTTTATGAGCACAGCATGAGATCTTGGAATGTTCCCTGCAGAAGGTTGAATTAAAGCAGCAGTTGATTCTCCTGGACTTTGGCAAGAACAAACTAAATTCAGTCTCAGTGACTGTTCAGTTACTCTCACCTGGCCAACAGACCGTTTCTCTGGGGATCAGACCTTCCCCCCATTTGATGTTTTCTTGCCTGATCCAGTTTCACCCTATTAAAAAGAATAATGGCCAAAGTTATCAAGTCACAGCAAGAAAGACAGAGTGAGGACCTCAGCTTTGAAACTCTGCAGTCTAATAACAGGATCAAAGCTGGGAGTGATTTCAGGCACACACATTGCTCTTACCCAGATGCAGGAGATGCTCTGAGCCAGGTCTGCTGTTCTCAAGGACAAAAGAGAAATTAAACAGAGGCAGCCTGCCCCCTTTGAACACCATTTCCACAGCCTCTAGAGGAAGCCAAGCCATCTAGAGCTATGGTGTAATTAAATACTTGTTACCAACGTATGTCAAATGCTGATACCAATGCTGCAATGGCACATAAAGCAGAACTAGGAGTGTAGTTAATGCTGGAAAAGCCACAGTACTGCTCGGTTGAAGTGTTTCTTTTGGTGAGAAGGTACCAGACAGTAGTAAAAGTTCATTGTTTTCACATCTGCTTTTTTCCATTAGCCGGTCATTTGCTATAATCAGGAGGTCAAAGAAACATAAATACCCGAGTTCAAAGCGCTCCTCTGCTGACAGATACTCAGACTGATAATTTGCTTATTACGCAACTTCAGAACTGGACAGCTGAAGCCTTACTGACGCTCTTTTTCCCCTTGCAGAGAAAACTTCAGGATATTGCCACCGAGACGTGGGTGGCTTCAATCAGAGCCTGCAGGCTGTTCAGTCAGTGGTACCACAGCGGGAGGAGATGAGAAGCAGGGCTTTAACTTGTCTCTAGAAGGCAAATTCATCTTTATGATGCCTTTCAGCACATACACATTGAGAAAGTCTGCCTGTACAATAAACACGCGTGTGTAATTAGGACCAATGGTCTGGAAGTCCAATTTCCACTCGAAACTTCATTAGTTTCCCTTTCGCCAAGTAGCAGAGTCAGATCTCCTCCTGTATCTATTCCCTTTGTATTCAAGAAGGAAGATTCTTGTATTCAATAAACACGTGTGTGTAATTAGGACCAATGGTCTGGAATTTCCACTCGAAACTTCATTAGTTTCCCTTTCGCCAGGTAGCAGAGTCAGATCTCCTCCCGTATCTATTCCCTTTGTATTCAAGAAGGAAGATTCTTGTATTCAACAGCTGAACACGTCAGCCAGATCAGCAGTACGCATCAACAAGTAGTGAGTTTGTGCAAGATTAACATCAAATCACTGAAGGCAAAGAACACCAGAAGGTAGCTAAGAAATACATTTCCCATGAGAAAAGTTTATTTTGAATAGAAACTGGAGTGAAAAAAAGCCTCTGCAGTGCTCGCATTTAGAAACAAGTCTGACACACTTCACAGTAACTGCAGTTGACACATTTCACATTTTTTTCAATGCCTTTGGCTCTGTCTTCACCCCTGCCTCAAAGGCATACAGTGTTGCGAGAAGAAAAGGTACAACAGTGCAAGCTGGCCCCTGAATTGTACACGCAGGTGAAGAGGAGACACCTCTTTACCAGGTTTACTTCATGTACAATTTAAAACCTGTACGTGTCTCCCATTAAGTTACACCCTTTCCACAAATCTGACTCACCAGTCAGAAAGTGCACTTCTCTCCTTCCTGAAAAGATCACTTCTGGGAGAACACACTGCGGGCAACTTCATACACTAGAAACAACCAAAAATGGGAACCAATTACACTGATGTGGCAGTCAAGTATTTTAACTCACTTCCTTGCAATATTAAGTCCACTTTTTCAACGGTATTCACACCCAAGAGTTTCATATTCTTGGTTTGACATGCAGGATGCCAAATTATACCACAGTTTTGAGAAAGACAATGGTACTGCACAATGTTGGATAGAAGACTCTGAATTTCTTTTAATTACAGATTCCCCCCTTATCTTTACGGTTCAGGAAGAAAAGACAAATCTACTACTTTTAATACAAAGGCAGCCTTCACAGACATAGGAACTCTGATTAAAATTCTCAATATTCTCTAGAGATCATCCACATCAAACCAAAATCCAATTAAAATTAGGTCTCAGTCTCAGTCCTTCTATACACGCCAACAGTCTGCCAAACGGTTGATGATCGACACACGATCCGAGAGGAGTCTTCAGCACTGCCAGACACAGACCCCGCACTCACGACGCGGTTCGTTCTTACCTTGACCACGCAAGGCCGAAGCACTTGGGAGCCGTGATTAGTGACAGAATAAAAATGCAGATGCACTGCTGCTTATTTACACACCAGTTAAAAAATAACG